CTGGCCCAGCCCCCATCCCTGTGTTTCCTGGCGGCAAGGGCCTCTCTTCTGCCTCAAAGGGCCCCACCCACCTGGCCCAGTGGGGAAAGCTGGGAACCTGGCATCCACCCAGCAGGGGCCATCCTGGGTAACTCTCAGACACGCACCCTGGCAAGAAGCTGCCAGAAATCTCCACAGGCTCTAGGCCAGCAGTTCTCAGCCTGTGGGTCGCAACCCACAGGAACTGTATTAAAGGGCCATGGCATTAGGAAGGTTGGGAACCACTGCTCTAGGCAGACCTCTTTAAGAAGTGTGCCCCAGTCAAGCCAAACATAATCATCCAGAGCATTGTTGGACACATCACAGAGAAACTTCATATAATCCCAAATTCTACCCAAAACTCCAGCCAGGTGTCACCATTATCAATTATTGGAGTTGACATCTGGGAGCTACATTGGCAACTTGGAAGCTCCCCTCCCCTCTCTCCCTTTCTACCCCATCTCTGCCACAGGAAGGGGGAAGGGGCCCTGGGTGGGACACTAGCTAGAAGATTAGGACCAGCTTCTACTCTTCAGCTCTCAGAGGAAGGGACAGGTAACCCTCAGCACCTGGAACTCCCCCAGCCTCCCTGGCCTCTCATTCCCACCAAAGTCAAAGTGGTCCCCACTGTCCCAAAGCCTCTCAGCCAACAGGATCAGCCACTCAGCAAATATCCTCCAAGCATAATTGGATGTGATGGAACGAGGGCTTTGCAGCTCCTGAGTGGAAGTCTCTGGATGTCATTTAATGGTACAAAAAATAAAAGGCTCCGGCCTCCCGCCTACTACCACCAGGACATCATTAATCTCAGCAGAAAGGCATCAGCGCTTCTATCAATACAGCCAGCCCTGCGACCAACCAGACAAATTACAGACCTGAGCTGTTCCCTCTGTGGGGCGGCTGTTAGGCTGGAGTTGAAGTTTTGTTTTTTTCTTCAGGGCCACCATCCCCTGACAAGAGGCAGCAGAACCCCTGCCCAAGGGGAGAGTAGAGCAAAGCCAGGGAAGAGGGTGGTCGCCTTGGTGAGAGGCAGGTCATCTGCCCACAGGGGACAGGGCTGTTCAAGGGGGCACCCTGCCCTTGCAGAGATTGCCCCAAAGTAGGAGGCTGGAGCAGCACAGAAAAGGCTAACAGCAGGGACTCCAGCAAGAGAAAGGAGGGGGGTCTCCATCCCGGGGTCCCTCCCCCACTTCCCAGGCTGAAAGGGAAATACTTCAGGGCCCACTGAGGACTGAGCAACCAGTCCGGTGGGAAATATCCCTTGGTAGGAGCAGGGTCACCCGGGAAGCACTATCCTGTCCTGTTGGGAAGTCTTAAAGTGGGGCTGCTGAAGGGAATCTGAGGCTGTTGTTGGGGGAAGGACCCTGTCTTCCACGGCCTCATACTGTAAAGTTGTGCCGCTGGCCAAGACCACATTTCAAAATGCCAGTTGTTATTAGCCCAGTGTTAATTATGTTACATTAGACATTCGCTGAGGGCAGGAGACACAATAAGGCAGCTCCCTGCATGCCTTGCAGAGGCCACAGGACACAGGAGGTGTTAAGGGGCTCTGTACCCAGATGCTGAAGCTCCACTCAGCTCAGAGCTGGCACATTCTGGCAGAGGAGCTGTCCACCCCAGTCTCCTGAGTCCTGCAAGGGGACCAGAGGGCTAGATAACTTGAAGTATCATTCTCTCAGTCTCTTGGCTGCCTGTTTGTCTCTAACGGCCCAGTGGAGCTGTGCAGTCACACGTGAGAAGCCACACCACATGGCAGAAAGCCAGCGTAGCAAATTGGAGTGACTGTCAAGGCCTGCCCCCGGGCCATTCCCAAACATGCCTTCTGTTGTCCAGGCCCTGGGACTAAAGCTCTAAGGGTGAGCCCCTTTCCCAGCTGAAGACAGGACATTTATGGCCCCCTTACTTCTACTAGGAGGTCAGGCACATGGTAGTGGCTCAGAACCCCCGAAGGCTTTAGATAAGGTCTAGCTTCTCCCCTGGGCTCCTGTCCAGAACATCTCTGACATGTAACATCTCACCATCTTCCCTATCAGGACTGGCCAATTAGAGAAAGGCCTCTAAGCAAGGCCATTGTGTCTGATTATGTAGGATGGAGGTGGCGCCCCCTAAGGTTGTGCAGAGACCAATCTGCACATCATAGTGGCAATCCCACCCAGAGAAGACCAGGTCTCAGTGTCCCAGCCCACAGTTCAGGAGACAGAGTAGACAACTTCCTCCTCTCTTCCTTCAGCTGAGGCTCCTGAAGTGTGTGCCCAGCCCTGCTCTTGTCTAGCAAAAGCCCAGCCTGAGTGGGTCCAGGACATAATGGAGCAGCCGGAGCACAGACAGTACCACCCTCTTCCTGCATGGCAGTGGACTCCCTGCAGCTCAGGGACAGAGCAGTGCCATACAGGAAGGGGCTTTCCTCCGAGCGGTGACCACAGAAGCCACAGCCTCCCAGCTCCCCCTCTCTCCCCACACACCCCTGAAGGCCTGACTCACTCCTCTTCCTTCTAGAACATGCACGGGGTCAGTTCCTCCTACCCTCTGTGGCAGGAAACAGGAGGTGTAAGGGGTCACTGCCACGCCAGGAGAGGAGGCGGCAGGAGGCTGGCCGGCACATGGCTGGGTTTCAGGAGCTGCCCAAGGAGCCGGAGAACCACAGAGTTGTTGGAAATGGCACCAGGAAGGAGCCGTGCAGCCCCCAAGGCACTGGGAGCTCAGAGGCTTAGAGCGGGTCTCTCACAGGGCATAGGGGATTTCTTTTCACCAGCTTGCTCTGGTCCCGTGATAGGTTTCAATTCCCTCCCTGCCACCCAGGTTCCTTCTTACCCTAGTCAGTGGGGAAAGCCCCTTTGTCCCCGTGCCTGCCACACACCAGTTCACCCATGAGCCCTTTTCCTGGTATGCACACGTGCACACACACTTTCTCAGGCCCATGATGCCATAATTCCTTTCCAGCCAGCCAGGTTCCTGGGTGCAGAAGCTCCAGCCAGGCAGGGCACCCCAGCAGGGGCACAGAGCCTCCTAGGGGGACCCCACAGCGGTCAGTACACCATCCTATAGAATGCCAGTGCCTCAGCCACCCTTCCTGAAAGAAAACTGCTGGAAGCCTGTGTTTTCCAGCCAACCTAGGTCCAATGGGAATGTACAGTCTCCGAGTCAGACAGGATTTGAGGGAACCCATCCCTGCCTTCTAAGAAGCTTTTTCATCAGCGCCCCACCTGTGCCTCCTCCATGCCGTCTGTGAGCTGAGGAGAGTAGCAGTTTTCCCTTGCTGGGATGGGGGGGAGGATTGAGTGAATTAATATTTGTAGAGCTCCTAGTATGGTGCCTGGCAAACAGGAAGCACCATACCGGTGGTGTGACTGCTAGTATTATTATTTGCATTATTGTTGTTACTGTTTCGGTTGGGGTTAAAAATTGTCCTCTCTTTGAGAATATCTTTGCAATGCCCAGAGCTCAGGCCTATGAAACACTGGACTGGAACCCTCTGATTCCACATGAATGCCCCCTTCCAGCATTAACCACCACCCCCCCACTCCCACCCCATGGTAGGCAGGACCACCTGGACGGGCTTGGCTTGCTGTCCTCATTGTTATGCAAAGGGGTGGTGAGTGCAGAAGGTGGGGAGGGGTGGTATGCCAGTCTCAGGGGAGGCCTGGAGAGGAACTGTAGGCAGCCAGCCCCTTACCCTCTTCTGACTGGGTATCAGAGATGACAGGTCTCTGTTGGTCCATGGCATATGGGCCACTGCCTCTCTCTGCTCCCAGCTGCTCTTCCCCATGCACTCTCTCCACCCAGGGAAGTTGCTGGATTTAGAAAAAGAAGAACAGCAATAAAAGAATGCGGGATGCCTAGTTAAATTTGAATGCCAGGCCAGGAATGGTGGCTCACACCTGTAATCTCAGCTGTTTAGGAGGATCACTTGAGGCTAGGAGTTCAAGACCAACTGGGCAACACAGCAAGTCCCTACCTCTAAAAAAAAAATTTAAACATAAACAAATTAGCTGGACATGGTGGTGTGAACCTGTAGTCACAGCTGCTTAGGAGGGAGGCTGAGGTGGGAGGATCACTTGAGCCCAGGAATTCAAGGTTACAGTGAGCTGTGATCCTACCACGGGCCTCCAACCTGGTTCACAGAGCGAGATCCTATCTCGAAACAAAACAAAAAAATTAAAAGATAAAATTGAATTCCAATAAACAATAAAAGTTCTTTTAATATATATATACTCCATGCAATGTGGGATCAACTTATATCAACACATAATTTGTTGTTTATCTGAAATTCAGATTTAATGGGACATCCCGCATTTTCTTGGCAGCCATCCCCCCCGGGTGCCCCAGGCCTCCAGTTTGGGAAACATGAGTGTGGGAATATACCTCTGATCACTTCCCTCAGCCTTTCCCCACGCCCGGGGCTGTGCCCTCCTTGCCGTGCCATGAGGCCTGTTCGCACTTGCCCCAGAAGATGTGCCTCCCCCAACAGCCCTGGGTTTTCTCTTTCTGAGAACCCCTCCAACCTGGGTATTGGCTGGGCTTCTCCAGGTACTCACACCCCCACTACCCCTCCACATCTGCCCTGCTCCTTTCCTTGACACAAGGAGGGGGTCAGCTGAGAGAACAGCGCAGAGGATAGACAATCCTATCTCAAAACAAAATAAGAGCTGGAGTGGCTGGGTGTGAAGGCAAGAAGCTTTAAAGCCTCAGTCATGGGTTGGTGGTCGTGGAGGAAGGGGGCAGTCCAGCTGACTGGGCGCTTCCTTTCTGCATGTCAGTGAGAAGGCAGTTATGATAAATGGAGGACACCCAGGGCATCCTTGACCACTTAGGAGCTGCCTCTGCAGCAGAAGCCAGAGGTCCCCCACCCCCGGCACTCTCCCCAACAGGGCAGCACCCACTATCTCCATGACCCCAGAGTCTGCCTCTCTCTCAGGCCCTTGCCAGCTCTCAAGTCCACAATTCTCTCTCACTGCCTCCCTGTGGTCTGTTTGTCCTTCCAGGCGCTTGGCAAATGGAAGAATTTCTGAACCGCTTCCAACTGGTAGAGCCCAGAGCAAGCACCCAGTTCACGACCCAGAACCCGCAGGACTCACCAGCACCACCAGACAAGACTACTGGCAGTGGAGGAGGAGACAGTGAGTCCAAGAACAAACCCAAACATAGTTAACTCCCTGCTAGATTGCAGGCTCCTCCCTCCAGGCCTGTGTCCACAATGCCTAGCACGGAATGCCTAGCACGGAAGGCCCGAGTATGCAAGCCCCCCTGGGTATGGAACCCCTTCTCTTCCAGATTAAAAAAAAGAAAAAAATCACCCAGGGCTTGCAATTTCATTTCCTCATCTGTATCTCTTTGAAGATCAACAAGAGGAAATGAACCAGGGTCCAGCACCAGGGATGGTGGAGGGTGGTAGGTTAGACGGACAGGAAGGAAGTAGGGATCCCTAGGCCTAAGCTGTCACTGAGTCCCTGTGTGACTCAGGCACATCACTTATCCCCTCTGAAGTTCTGCTTCCTCAGCCGTGACACTAAGTGGGGAAGAAGCAGTAGAGGGTGGTCAACATAGTGCCAGGAACCTTTCCAGCTGAGACATTCAACACCATTCATTCAATGAATATCTGTGGCATCTGCGGTGAGCCTGACCTTCTGCTAGGCGCTGGGGTCCCATGGGTAGGTAAGGAGGACAGGCAAACCTGCACAATACCTGCCCCATGCATCTCCCAATGCGACGGGGGAGGGAAATAGCCATCAGGGAGCCACAGCAAATTACAGCCAGTGTGATGAGTGCTGTGAGGGGACAGGAGACCCCCGATGCAGACGGAGGGATGAAGGCCTACATAGGGCCTCTCAGAAGAAGTGGTATTTAACCTGAGTGCTGAAAAGCAGGATAGAGGTTAACAGCTATAACCTCTGAGGAGAGACAGTGATAGAGAACACTCTAAAACTCCTCCAAGCTGCTGTGGCTGGCAGGGGCATGTGTGGCCTCCTCTCAGAAATGAAGCTTGGTTATATGGCTTCAGTGAAGTATGCAGAAGAGGGAACTGGTGGGCAAAGGCCAGGCCGGGCCAGTCCTTGTTCCCATATCAAAGTTTTGGATTGTATCAAAAAGCAATGGGAAATCACTGAATGATAAGTTGATTGGAGGGGCAGGGACATAATCGGATGTATGCTTTTAGAAGGCACTGAACAGATTTGCAGCATCTAACTTCCCTGAATTTCCTCTGAAGACCTCTTGGCTTCCCCACGCAAGGACACCTTGCAACAGTCCCATTCACAGCCTGCGCTGTGGCTCCTCAGGACCCCCATACCCTTCATCTTGGCTCCCCTCCAAGAGTTAATAACTCCCCTCTCCTTGGCGAGGATGCAGCTACATTGGTGACTCATGTCTGCAAAGTGCTTTGAGATCCCCAGATGAAAGAAACAGGACAGCTGGGCAGGGGGGTTTACCTTCTTAGAGTCATACCCCTCATGAGCTGCCAGGCAGGGGGCCTGGGCTGACCACTTGGCCCAGCAGAGCACACTTTTAATTAGCTGGACAAGTGTTCATGGAGAACACAGTGCAACAGGAGATTCATTGAGTCTATGAGGGGGGCAGATGGGGTGACATCCCTACCACCAGGAGATTCAGCTCCCAGCCCAGGTGGTGGACACCAAATCCTTGTGTTCCAGAAGGATATGTGATGCCAGCTCAGGGAAAAAGGAAGCCCAGGCAAGAGAGAGACTGCTGGGCCCCTCTACTCCCTTCTACCCTGCCAGGCAAGCCTGCAAGCAGCCCTCAAATGAGAAACAAAAGGAAGTGTTTGTTTGCAGTGTCACAGTGTCACAGAAGGCAGCCTCAGAGGGACCCTCTGGTCCCCTGCTCCCTGGGATATTCTCCCCACAGTCCCCCGCCAGGCCAGAGTGTAATTGGCAGCTCCGATTAGTGCCCAGGGCCAGGATAAATAGAGGGTCAGCTTCCTAGAGCAGCCCAAATCGGGACACATCCTCCCTTCTTCTGCTTTTAATTCCTTGCGGCTAGCATGTTTATTTTGGGTGAGGAAAAAAATCGGATGTTTATCCTTCGAGGAAATTATCGGCTTGCATGCTTTCCTTCCCCCACCACCCTCCTTTCTTTTGACCTGGTGTTTTGGGCTTTCAGTTCAGCTGCCAGAGAGACCCCCTCCCTCCTGCCCCCAAAATGTGAAAAAAGAACACAGTGGGCCCAGGCTCTAGGCAGAAGCCAACCCTGCCAGGCGATCCCTGGAAACCACAGAGAAGGAGGTCCCCACAGCAGACGGGGAACCTGGGAGGCCGAGGGGACCTTGGGGGAAACCCTGCTTTGACTCCGCTTTCTGCCTGCACCGTTCTTTGCACCTCTCCTCTCTTCTCTTTGCTCTGTCTCCTCCAGGAAGAAACAGGTGGACAGGTAAACTGCTTTGAGAGCTCTAATGAAGCAGCCAATATATAAAAATATAAAGGAGCCGTGGTAACCCCTTCAACAGGATAAAGAGAACTGACATTAGTGTCATCATCATAGGCAGATACCATTTGAGGGGCACTTTTTGTATACTAGGCCTGGTGCCAAATGCTTACCATGTGGCATCTCATTTAATGTACTTCTGCATGGCTTCACAGCCTTCCGGGGGCCTTCATACACACTCTTTCATTTGATTGTCACAACAACCTAATAACATAGGTGTTATTCTCATTTTATAGATAAAGAAACTGAGAAGCCCCTAAGTCAAGGAACTTACTCCCTGTTCCATAACTAATGATAGTAGAATCAGATGTTAACTCCAGCCTTCTCGAGCAGAATATTTAGACATAAACAATACTCTAATTTTACTCTCTGGAATGTATAAAATAAAGGCAGATCTTCTATGTATTCAGGAGCTGGAGTGGGCCAGAGAGGGAAGTCTGGAAGTTTCAGAATCATTGAAGGGTAATCTTCCCCAAGCGTCTTCCCTTCCCCTAGATTAAGCCATCCTAGACCAAGCGTGATTTGTGGGGAGGGCCAGGGTTCCCAAATATTCAAGGCAATCTCCTGGCCATTGCCATCCCTCCCTACCTGCTCAAGGCCATGACCTCAACAGTTTATCACCCTCAGTCCATTGAATTACCCCTCCCTCCCCACCATGCCCGTGCGATGACTTCTCTTAGGTAAAGAAGAGAGGCTAGAAGAGGAGAGAAAGCCACTAGGAAGACTTGCTGGATAATGATGATGATAGTGTTGGTGGTGGCAGTGGCCCAGCAAGTTGTTAGGGGTGAGCATCCATGGGCTAGGAAGAAAGCCTAGCATATGCCTTACATGGTATAGTTTGAAAGACAGGTTTTCAAGGCTGGATGCAGTGGCTCACACCTGTAATCCCAGCACTTTGGGAGGCCAAGACAGAAGAATCACCTGAGGCCAGGAGTTCAAGTCTAACACGGGCAACATAGCAAGACCCCCCAGCTCTACAAAAATAAGAAAAATTAGTGAGGTACAGTGGCATGCGCCAATAGTTCCAGCTACTCAGGAGGCTAAGGCAGGAGGATCACCTGAACCTGAGAGTTGGAGGCTGCAGTAAGGTATGATCACACCACTGCACTCCAGCCTGGGTGCCAGAGTGAGACCTTGTCTCTAAAAATTAATGATAATTTAAAAAAAAAAAGTTTTCTTACCAAGCAGACTTAAGTTCACATGGAATTTCTAGCACTGGACAGTCCTGTGACCTCAGCAACTATTCTAATCCTGTGCTCTGGCTGCACAGAGCAGTATGATAGCAATGCCATCCTCCCCAAGTTCGTTGCAGCCGTTAAATGAGATAGCAGGGAGGTGTGAACACAATGCCTGGCCTGCAGGCTGTTCGGTAATGTGCATTTTCCTTTCCTTCCCTGCCTCCACCTCACCTGTTCTCCCTAGCTTGGCTGCAGCAGCAGTGAGGCTTGGGGTAACGGGAAAGAAGCAGCAATCCCAGAAGAGAGTCCTTCCCGAGAGACCCGTCAGAGGCTCGGCAGCCGCAGGGAAAGGACCAACTTCCAAGGGAGCCTCAAGCCTCAGCCCAGCATCCCCCTCCCAAGCTAAGCAAAACACTGGGAGGCTTGGATCAGGAAAGACAACCCAGTTCCTTAGCAACTAACAAGCAATTCCTTGTAAAGACAAAGACCCTTCAGTCAGAACGTTCCCTCCCCCAGCCTCCCCAGGTGTCTGATGGGCTTTGCAAAAGTGGGGCTGGGGGCTGCCACCCTCCAGGACTTCTAGGGGCCTCTCACCCTACCCTCCCAGCTGTCCTGATATTACCTGCAATTATCCCAGAACACCTTTCATCTTGGTGCTAATTAACTTTTGCATCTACCCCCAGGAGCTGCTGGGAGACGTGAGAGGTGTGTACATGCACACACATATACACACACAAATATGACCATATTTCCCCTTCTGAGACTTTCGTTCCACTTTAGAGACCGGGAAACTAAGGTTAGAGAAAGAAGCTGATTCCTCAAGGATTTCTGTCTGCCTCCTCCTTGGCGCTAGGAAGGAGAAACAGGAGCTGAAGATGATGGTTCAGGGAGTGGCCAGGACAGGTCCCAGGGTATCTTATGAGGGTGAAGGACAGGAAAGGGGAAGCCTTCTGGAAGGACTGAGGAAACCCTGCCAGGACAGGGATCTCAGCTCCAAATGTCACCGTCAAGCCACCAGACATAAGTCATCCTGCTTAAAACAGAAAGAACCTTTTAAAGGGAAAAAAAGGAAATGTTTCAATAGTAAAAGAAAGGAAAGAGAAGGAAACAGAAAAGCAAAAACTGCTGACTGGGAGTCAAGATGTAAATTTAATACAAGCTCCACCATTCACTGATGTGCACGCCTGGGAAAGTCAGCCATCCTCTCTGGGCCTCGGTTTCCTCCTCTAGGAAATAGTTTGGGATGGGTGCTCTCTTGAGGCCCCCTCCAGCTGAATGTTCTGCAGTTCTTTATGGTTATTTTGGGAGTGGTAAAGAAATCTACCACCATGTCCCTTTGACTGGGAGTACATGGAAGCCACCAGCACAGGGTAGAAAAGCATTCCCAGAATTAAGAGCAAAGAGCCAAGTGCGCTTGACTTCAACAGCCAGAAAACCCTACCTGGGGGGGGAGGCCAAGGTTAAAGAGAAGTTTACAGTCATGGGGAGCTGAAAACCCTGGGAGTTCCCAGAAGCAGCAGCCAGCTCGTCCCCC